TGGGGGCCCTAGTTATGGATTGTTGTAATAAAGTCTCTTTTCAGCTCATGACTTTTAGGGTCTGGCGATGTTATTAATTTAAGCTCCCGGGCTCATCTTTTGAAGGTATAGTGCAAGTTTCCTTTGAGGATGGGAACTGAGAGGTCAGCTATAGAGTGATCACTTTTAAACAGTGTTCACCCACAGGTGAGGGGGTGTTTTTGTCTTTTTTCATTTTTCTTTTGTAGTTCATTAGAGAGCATAGCAATTGATTTCATCCACATGGTTGTTATTAAGGCAATTAGTTCCATGGCTGAGTTCAGCACTGTTCCTAGGGGGCATGGAGCCCTGGGCAACTCCTCCTCCCCACAGGCCCCACCGTCTGCCCTGCCTCTGATCTACCCTGTGTCCCTACCATGCCCCCATTGCACCTCTTGCTCAAAGCCCTCCCCCACCCCCCTTCCTCATGTGAGCCGGGGGATTACTGGGAGGCCAGGAACAGGGCAGCAGCAAGAGGTGTTCCTTTTCCCCCCACTCACCATGGTGGCAAAAGCTGGAGCGACCTGGTAGCCTGCTGGGTCACTCCCTTTCCTGCATATTTTCTTATACTGGTTGAACCTCTCTAGTCAGGTCCCCAGGGTGCCAGACTGGTGCTGAACCAGAGAATTTGCCAGACCATGGGAGATCAATACGGTCTAGCAGCATTATCAACACTTCTGCTGCTTACTGGACTCTTAGGAGTACCGTAAATTAGAACTACAGAACCAGCACAGCACAGAGAGTCAGGACTGGCAGCTATAAACCAACTTTATGGGACTGCAGAAAACTTGGCCATACCCATGAAAAGTGGGCATCCGTCTAACTAAAATTCTTTCGGACCACGGATGTTGCTGGACCAGAGTGCCAGACTAGAAAGGTTCAACCTGTGCTTGAAACTGACCATTTATAGGTGGTAGGACATGTCTGTCTGAGGAAAATCATGATATTCATGGGCATGTGGTAAGGCATGGCTGGGGGAGGAAAGCCCCTCACCTCACCTCACCTACAGCCCAGTCCCTTCTTCTGAATACCCCCCCTCCCAGGAGGCAGGGCAGTGTAGTGGTAAGGCACGGCTAGGGGAGGAAAGCCCCTCACCTCACCTCCAGCCCAGTCCCTTCTTCTGAACGCCCCCCCTCCCAGGAGGCAGGGCAGTGTGCCATGTACCTGGTCTCCCTCCCAACCACAGAGGACATGCTGCACCATGCACCCTGCCTCAGCCCAGCCTCTCCAGCCCCAGAGCACTGGGAGAGGAAGGAGGATGCTCCACGCAGCGCGTCCTGTCTAGCCCTGGGGAAGGAGGAGGGCAGAGGGTGTGTGTCATGGCCCCAGCCCTGCCTCTCCAGCCCCAGAGCACAGGGAAGGCAGGCACTGGGGGCAGCAACACTCTGCCCCAGAACTCCTAATGCAGGCGGAGTGTGGGCAGGGCTATTCCTGGCAGTTTGGGAAGGCAGATCCTCCCCCGGCTTCACCTACCAGACACCCATGATTATATTACATTGAATTCTCATAAGTATTGTTCTAGTTTTGCAAACTCTAGAAACCATTCACCTAAAAGTACCAGTACTTTGAAGCAGGGTAGATTGCTGAAAAAGACTGTAGGGGCTGTCTTCCATTGTGACGGGGAAGAGTGAGGAGGAACTAGCCACTACTCAGCAGTTCAGTTTAGATTTAAAATGTACAGACACCTAAATTGTGATTCTGTTCTCATCAAAGCACTTGAATACTATTGCACTGGCATGCTTTGCCTTCTGTTATTTTCACTCTTATCCAGAAGAGTGTGCATTAGATACTAGAAGAGCAACCTTATGTCTTATAATTGTTAAGTTAACCCACATACTGGTAGTAAGAGGCTTATAAAACTCAGATGGAATCTGCATAGTGTTAATGTATGAGATTTATTCTTCCCCAAGGATTCATAAACAGTATTGACAAATATATTGCACACTGCATTTGTGACATGGCCATAATGTAAGATGGGAGGTTTGAAAGGTTTAAATAAACATCTAAATTAAATTTGTTAGTCATAGTGCAACAACAGTCCTATTAGTCACTTACTGCAATTTATTTTTATTGAACATTTTCCAAAACAATAAAGATCTGTGTTTCCTCTCTATAAGTACTGGATAAGAAATTTGCTACAAACAGTAATTTGTTTTTTATCAGCATACACTGCTGTCTTTCATATACTGTAGTCATTAGGAGGTTTTCAACTTAAAAAAAAAAGTCAGATCAACTTCCAGCTGCTAAAATACACAGTGAAGTCTCCAAAAAGATAACCTGTAAGCAGTTTATTTGGACTTTTTGCAATGTAAATGATTTACCTTTCTAATCCCATGTTCAATCTGCCACATAAATTACATTCTTTTAGTTATGCTTCTGTTGTAAGTGGCTAAAGCCACAAATCCTGAGAAGTTTTTCTTTAGAATGTTTTTATTTATTTATTTATTGCCCTTTTCTATTACTACAGTTTCCCATGCATGGAGCCACATGAAATTATTTTGATTGTTTCACTAGCTGTCACCTCATAATGCATTTTGTAACATTGCTCACATTAAAATGGAATAATGAACAATTATGCATTGTTGAACAACAAATAGTGAAAGAAGACGAGAAGAGAGATGTTGAAACAATTAAGCCCCTTACATCAGATCTTGGTACCACAATCAGATCATGTTGGGCAAATCTTTCATGTATAAATGGATTAAAATCTTTGTGCCTTTTTTTAAGATTCATTGTGTGGCTATCTCCACTTTTTAATATCCAGGAGAATAAAAATTTTCTCTTAGGCAAACAATAATAAAGCACCAAGTTCATCAAAGCTCACAATTTTTTTTTGAGGAAATAGGAAATTTAAGATGATCATAAAGTTTTACTAGATTTGCAAGATCTAAAAACTCATGTCAAAAATAGCAACACCCGTGGGCAGATTTCTAGTGGGATTCGTGTTAGTGTTTAAGGATTTGTGCATTTTGAAAAACCTGTTGGGTGGTGGTATTTCTATAGACATTATTACATAAATCTCACTGTGACCATGATCCATATAATTTACTGAGGCCAACCCCTCCTGCTCCGATGAGAGTTTTACCATTGATTTAAAAAAGAGCAAGATTGTTAATGTAAGCCAAAATTTTTCAATTTACGTGTGTAAAATTAGGCATCTAAACACGTGTGGTCTGTTTTTCAGATGTGTAGAGGACACAAGCTCATATCATAGTCACAAATTTAGAAATAAAAGAAGTCCTATGGCTTTAGAAATGTTGGTGTTAGTTTCAGTTTTACACAAAAGTATACTTCCAAATGTACTAGGTTTAAAGAGACGAAGAAGAAAATATCTGATTAAAGGGCGAAAAAAGGTTCTTTTTTCCCTTTAGTTTTAATTATCTGAGGAACATGTTTCATGGACTTTTCAAAATAATTATACTTTTCTATGTTTGCATAGCAACAGTTGAAAAGATTGCAAAAACCTACCACATATAATCTTAATTACTATCTATGCATTTTAGTATTGATAAATGGGGTCTGATTTCCTCTTGATGCATGCTTCTAAATCACATTAGCACTAACCAAGCATGTGCATGTATTTGGGAAACAGGATCATAAATGGATGATCAAAGAAATGGGAAAGAAGAAAACGTCATTCCCTCACCAAAAAATATAATAAATATGGGTATCAGATTTCAACATATGTAGATGTTTTCCAAAAAAGTACATAGCAGATACACAACAGATTAGACATGTGTGTACTTGGATAGGCAGGACCAAATGGATCCATGAGTATTCAAATACCTACTGTGCACACATCCTTTGTTATAAATTAATTGCTTGCACTGGTGTGCATGCCTGATTTTGACAATCTGACCCGGAATATATGTTTCAATTTGATATAATGATCTCTCTTATCATGCTTATGTTTGCTGAACAATATATGGCCAAACTTCCCAAAGAATTCATTATTCATCAGCTTCCTGTTAAGTACCTACATAAAAGGCTAGATCTTCAAAGAGCTCAGGTCTTTCAAAAGAGCTTTTTTGAAAATCTGGCCCCAATTGTCAGCACTATACACTTTGGGAAATCTGACCTGGAATGAATAAGGACCTAACTTTGCAAATACTTTCCCATTAGGTGTAATTCTTATTACTGATAGTTACTACTTGGTAAAAATCTACATGTTAATAGGGCTTAGATTCCTTAGTGACACAGGTGCTATTGAGTATGGAATCTAGGTTTCTAAGGCCTTTTGAAAACGTTACCTACTGTGTCTTCAGCAGATGTACTTATTTCATAATTTTTACATATGACCGTAAGTATTTGAATATTGACTCCTAAATTATCTGATGTTCCTTGTCTGTTTCTCCATAGGACTGTAATAAGGAATGTACACTTGCTTTTGAAAATGTCTAGAAAATTGTATGTTTTCATGTATTAAAGCTGAAAATATTTCTTTCAGCAAAATCTGCTGCATTTTAGACTCGTGCATCTCACAGGCACATAATTTAATGGAGAGAGGGGTTGAGCTTTTGTGATGGAAGGGATAGAAGATTTATTAAATTACAGAAGAGACAAAAGAGATGTAGATTGTACATTATGTGTCCGTTTAAGTGATATAACATGTACACTGTAACGGATTGAATAGTTCTTAAAATCAGAGCCGTGGTATTATGAGTTCTCATAATGTAGTTTTTTGCACCTGCTCATAAACTTGCCTCTTTAACCGGGGATTCATTAAATAAGCAGGCTATTTAGTGTACAATTACAATAACACTAGTGCAATTCATATTAACACATTTAATTTTGTCTTCCAATTATGCTTTTGCAAAGGAAACTGTACATACTTGAATTTCAAGTGACTGTAATAAATTTACCATCTTAAATTTATCTTAATAGTACTATTTATAATGAATATTAATTATGTTTTTATTGTTGCAACATTCTTAATCTTTATTTTGTTTTCTCTCTCTCTCTCTCTTTTCCTCTCCCAACAGTCCTGGTACCTGGGCTAGCTTGGTCCCTTTTCAAGTATCAAACAGGACACCAATCCTGCCAACAAATGTCCAGAATTATGGTTTGAACATAATTGGAGAGCCTTTCCTTCAAGCAGAAACAAGCAACTGAGGGAAAATGGAACAAAACAAAAATTATAAAGAAAAAAAGAGAAAGGAAGACAGGACAAAAAAAAAAAATGAAACTGAAGAAAGAAGAAAAATAGACCAGCAATTGCAGCATTTACAATCACTGATTCCCTTAAGGTTGAAACTGTAATGACATAAAAAGGGTCGATGATATTTCACTGATGGATAGAATGCAGCCACTGCTAAGTAGCCTTTGTTATTTGAAGTCCGCTGGGAAATAGATGTTCTGTCTCTGACAATATATTTTAACTGACTTTCTAGATGCCTTAATATTTGCATGATAAGCTAGTTTTATTGGTTTAGTATTCTTGTTGTTTACGCATGGGATCACTATTCCTGGTTATCTCACAAAACAAAGGCTAGGCAGCAGCAGCGCTGCAAGAGGACAAGGGCTGTGAGACAGCCGTTTTCTCAATTCAAAGTTAAAAAACAAACTCTGTAGCCTTTAGTTATCAGTACAGATTTATTAAACTTTGGCCCTTAACCCAGCCTTTTCTAGTGTGTTACCTAGTCTGGAATTTTCCAAGTCAGTATGAACATAGGCTCTATGGAAGAAATGCCTCTATGTAAGTAAAAGTGTTATCTCCTCTTACAACAGTAAAAAATATTTTACATTTTTACCCACTAAAGAATACTTACAGAGGCAAGTGCAATTTAAAAATATATCTAAAGGGGAACATCATTATAAGTCCTTCAGCCCTTGGACTCTAAATTGAGGGGATTAAAAAGAATTTTAAATTACTTTGAGCAAATTTATTTTCCCCTCAGTTTTGAGGGCATTAAATAAAGACAAATCATGTCATTGAGAAGAAGAAATTAATGGAAACACAGCACTTATGTTGGTTTAGCTGCTGCCTCCATGGAGGGGTAGGATTTATTTATTTAAAGTTACTGGTTGCATCAAGAACCCATAGGGTAAATGTAAAGTTCTATAAAATCTGCATCATAGAGACAAAGAGGAAGGCAAATCCATGTCACAAAGGCAAAGCTTACAGTTTAAAAACTGGGAATGGCTGGGTGGGTGGGTGTAAACATGCACTCTCAAACAAGTCTAGTCACAGGGTGCTGAAAACTTGCATGGTGCTTTCAGAAATTAGCCTTGTTCAACACATTTCTCATATTGACAGAACAGTAATGTGCATGGGCAGACACATTTTGCCTCTGTGTCTCTTAAAACTAATTAATTGATTAAAAATACTCTTTCCAGTAATCCTAATTTGCACGAAGTTATAATGTCCACATTACGTGCCTTGCCTTGAAATCTTAAAAAAAGTGACATCACTCTACTTGTTTTGCTGCATTTATTATCATTTTAAATCTTTACCATTTTTATGACAAAATATTTTGTACTCCAGATGGGGGGAAAAGTGTGACATCATGGATTTTTTAGACAGTTATACCTTTATCTCACATTTATAAAGCATATCATGGCTGTGTATAGTTGCCGCTTAAAAATTGTAATCGACCAGCAATATTTTCAGTATTTTGGTGTTTTTTCTATTAACCTTTCATGTTTTTCATCTTCCAATTAATATTTGGGAGGGGGGGTTCAAATTTATATGAATTATGCAATACCAAGTTTTGCCTATGTAGGTAGTGCTTTTAGCTGTATTGGTTATTATAGGTAAGTACACAGATTTAAAAGAGAAAAAAAAAGAATAATGTATGCTTTTTTTTTTGTTTGTTTTAATTGACCAAAGTGGGTACTGCTATTTTTGCAGTGTGATGAGGTCCTTTTGTGTACTGAGAGATGGACAGGGGATTTTTTTTATACATATATATATATTCTGGGGAGGGTGGGGAGGATTTTTAACACTTTACAGTGTAGCTGTGAAGCAGTGCACTCTTAGCCAGGCAAGGACTGCAAAGCGACTGTTCTGCCTACTGTGACAAACTTTCAAATAGGTTCCCTCTTTTTAACTTCCCACCTGGGGTGCAAGCTGAACTCATTTCTGGATATTTTTTTTAAAGGATTCTGTTGGAGGCAGACTTGACTTGAGGAAATTGTTTTACTTTTTTATTTCAAGAGGTCAAGACCCACAGTGAGGCCGCGTCTCTTTAATTTTTGGTAAAGGTATTATATCCCAAAATGTACTCTCTTAGAAGGTGTTTTAGCTAGAATGACATGGAAACCCTCTTTCTTCTATGAGATGCACATACTGGGCCAAATTCTTTGTGGCTTAACTGTTGATTTCAGTTGACTCCAAAGGAGTTATGCCACCAGAGAATTTTGAGAACTATATTTAAATGACTGGCAAATGCTCTTTTTCCCTAAGGAAAAGAGTTGCTGTTCTGTTGTTTTTAGTTTATTTACACACAGCATCTGAATTACAGGCATCTACCTTAGCAAACCAATGCCGGAGGTTTAGAATTTCTTCACGTACAAAAGGTCAGATGGAAAGCTACAGTTCTGTACGGTAACTTAAATGGAATTAGAATACAGTGTAAATAAAAGTTTATTTGAAGTAATGTAAAATCTTACAGACTAGCTGGCCTAATGCTGCAAACCTTGTGTACATAAGAACTCTGCTTTACAGCTCAGCTTGGGGAGAATTTGCCCTTTAGTGCACACCCTTTTATTGGGGTGTGGGTGCAGGGGAGAATAAACTGCTGAGAATTAAGCAGCCTGTGTGATAACTGAGCCCATTTCTCCACTAGCTTTTTGTCTTCAAATTTGCCATCATTGATCTACCACTGGCATGTAGTTCTAGCAATGGTAGTGCACTGCTGAGAGCCCTAGTGGCTACTAGGTGCTGGCATTTTTTTACTACTGTGTCATCTAGCCCTCCTCAGAGCAAGTCCAGATGACACAATAATTAAACACAGTGGCAGTTTCAAGCACTATATCTCCACTAGTGCTCCCACCGATGCCTACCGCCATTGGAGCTGTATCAGTGGGATATGCTATGAGAAACTTGTGTGTAGGTAAGGCCTAAAAGGCAAGAGAGAGAGAGAAACTAGAAAATAAAAAATCCTCAAGATTTAGTTAGCTAAATTTAAAAAAGAAACCAACTTTATGTTGCTCTTTTTTTGAGCCCATAGTAAGTGAATTCATTCACTAAATAAGCGGCTGTTAAGACTAACTGAAATGTAGTAACCAACTTGAGGACTCCTTAGGCTGTGGCCCTGATAAAATAAGTTACGTATTGTTCTCTCATCACATCACTTAATAATGAACAGCTATGAAGTATGTTTATGTGCTGGAGAACTGTATTTGATTATCCCATTCAGTGAGATGTCCCCTTAAACTTTGACTAGCACAGCAGGATGAAACCAAGACAAGTCCAGACTATAAAGTGCAATAATTTAATGCTTATCCTTGTAGACAGCAGATGCTCTTAACTGAACTTTTCATGAATCTTTGACCTATTGTGTGAACAAATCAAGCTTACTAATGCAGACTATTACTATTTTTTTAAAGTCAGACTTGCTCTGTGTGAATGAATTTTCTTCAGTGGAATGTTAAGCAACACTGTGGGTTTTTCTGCCTGCCTCTTTAATATAAAGGCATGTTTTGAATAAAAAAACCACAAACTTCCTTTTCTTTTTTTCTTTCTCTTTTATTTCTTTTTTTCCTAAGTTCAAAATTCAAAAGATTAAGAAAATATTGAGGACTCAAATCCAGTCTCTAGCCTCCTCCTTCACCAGGAAGTGTATTCTGACTAAATCAAGCCACCCCGTTCTATGTGCACTGTTCTGCCTTTATTAACTTGCTTTGCAGCCCTAGCCTTATGGCTGTGCCACTGAAGTGTGTTTCCCCTGGAGTGACATGAACGTTTGAGGCTTGACTAAGGGAAAAAAAAAGGCAGTGAAGGAGACTGTACATAAAGACATGGCAAAATATTAATTATAGCAATATAGTTGTGGGGTGATGTTCAGGTGGGCAGCTCCATTGAAAATATGTGAATGAATCTGTGAAGCTGCAAGTAGCGAGAAGAATGGAGGATCTTCTTAATGAACCGCCTACCTTGTAGACAGTAATTTGTACACTGTATAGTTTTGTTAAGAATTTTTTTTTAATTAAAGTACCCTTGTTTGTAAAGCTAACTTTTTAACAGTTATAATGGAAATATATGACATTTCCATTTTTAAAGTAAACAAGAATATTCCTTGTTTGGAAACTGGACTTGGGTTAAAACTCTCCAGTTTCTTAATTTATGTATTAAAAAAATCTGTCCATGTTAGGAGTTATTTCGCAGATTCCTATGCTTGAAAAGCCTAGGTTACTAATCCTTTAAAAAAGTTGTAAATGGAGAAAAGTTATATTTTATGAAGGTTATTTTGTTGTATTTAGTATTGGAAAAGTTGGTTTTCAGAGCATTTCAGAATGTTGGAAGCACCACTGTCTTTTTATTAGTATATATGGCCTTTAGCAAAAGTTTTTTGTGATTGTTACATGATGGTATTTAAGATTAGGTTCACAGAGCATTCAGGATAGGCAGAGAACTCTAACAGTACTTATTGTCTCACATAGCTGTGTCCTCAGGGAGCAGAATTTTGGATTTGCAACTTGTAGCTTCATAAGGACTTAATGAAAGAGATTGCACAGGGACATACTCAGCCATGACACCCAAGTGTGTTCTGTACCTAAACTCTAAATTATATGTACAGTTTGAGATTATGAAGGCTGCAGAAAGTTATCCCACATTCAGTGTGCAGTATTCACTTTTAATGAAACAACTTTATAACGTTGCTGGCAGTAAAGCCCTAAGCATGACATCCAATATAGTTTACATGATCCTGTCAAGGTCCTTTGTTAACATTAACCAGCTGCATGCTTCCTGAACTTTTTTTTTTTCAATTTGGTTTCTATAGAAAACTTAAAAAAATATGCAGGCTAATCAAGTTCAACAGGAAAAGCTCAAAATTGAATGTTCTACTCCATGTTGAAGGAGCTGAAAACTATCTCCTTCTTATTTGCACTTTCTGCTAGTTCCCCTATTTTTTTTTAATTCCTCAAAATTGTGTGGGTGTGGTGGAGCACTGCAGTTGGAGGATAACACGGACCACTGATTTTGCCCTTTAACCCTGCACAATGACCTTTGCATCAGCCAAA